GGATCGGGATTGCATTGTATCTGTAGATTGCTTTGGGTAGAATTGACATTTTCACTATGTTGAGTCTACCTATCCATGAGCAAGGTATATTTTTCCACTTAATGCAGGTCTCTTTTAGTTTCTTGCAGTAGTGTCTTGTAGTTTTCTCTGTGAAGATCTTTTACATCTCTGGTTAGATTTATTCCTAAGTATCTTATCTTTTTGGGGGCTATTGTAAATGGTATTGATTCGGTGATTTCCTCTTCAAGAGAACCAGTTCTCTTAACACCACTGTCTAAAAACTCCATCATTTTCCATGAATCTGATGTCACCTTTATTGCATAATTTCCTATATATACATGGAACTGCCTCTGAGCTCTCTATTCTGTTCCAGTGGGCCCACTTGTTTTTATTGTTGTTGCAGCGTAAGTATGTCTTAAAACCTGGCAGGAAAACTTCCCTCTCTCTACTTTTTCTTTTCAAGGTTGTCTATGTTGTAGACATTTATTTCCTTATAAACACTTTAGAATGTCATGGATATTTTTTAAAATCTAACTGGAACTTCAAAATGTAATTACACTAATTTATATTTCAATACTTGAATAATTGTATATTCTTAATATTTTTGTCCTTTATTAGAGTTTAATATTTTTCCTCCAGAGTATTACATATTCTAAAGCTAATTTTTAGATATCAATGTTTATTGAAATTGTGAAGTGTATTTTGCTTGTCTTTTTCAAAAAAAATACGTGGTATTATTGGTTTTTACTAGAATAGAGAAATAATATTTTTTAAAGTTGATCTTGTGTTTGGCAAACTTGTTCCACAATTGGACCATTGATACCGTTGGTTTTTTTTAAATAGATGATCATTTCATCTGCAAATAAAGCCATATTTAATGTCTTTCCTTCTACTTCTTATACATCTTTCTTTCTTTCTTTTTCTTTTTCCCTATTAATGTTGTCCAGAACCTCCAATACTATGTAAACATTAACAATGATAGTGAACCTTCTACGATTATTTGTAATCTTAAAGGGAACACAACTCAAGTTTCTCCATTAAGTAAAGTGTTTGCAAAGGATTTTTGGTATTTAATTTCTACAATATTTATAATAGTAGAGAGAATAACACAGTGAACCGCCAGGTACCCATCACTCTGCTTCAACTTTTACAATTTATGACTAATATTGTTTCAACGGTACCCTTCCACTTTCCCTACCCAACACTGACTTATTTTGAATCAAACCTCAGATTTGATGTAATTTAATTTGTAAACATTTTTAAGGGTCTAACGAAACCATTTTAGGGTGTACAATATTTACTAAGTCCAAAAAGTTCCCTTTTATTTCTAATTTGCTGGAAATCTTCATTGTAAAGAGATTCTGAACTTCACAAAAAGAATTTTTTTTGCATTGATTAAGAAAGTCATGATTTTTCCCTCCTCTAGTTTATTTATATAGCATATTAAATTGCTAGATTTTCTTTTAATAAAACCTCCCTGCATAATTGAGATAAACCCTACTTGATTATTTGAGGTTATTTTTCAATGCTCTGTTGGATTTGGTTAGTTATGATTTTTATATCTTAAGTTCATAAATGAAATGGACCTGTAATTTTATTTTCTTGTATTGCCCTTATCTGGTTTTTACAGTCAAGATTCCATTAGTTTCATAAAATTGAGCTGGGAAAACTTCACTGTTTTTCAATTTTTTGGAACAACTTAAATGAGATAAAAAGTAACTG